TTAATTGCGTGACTATTTTTTTATTGTGGATGTCTCCTGCACAAAAAATTCTAAATGGGATATGGAGATGTATGTAACGTATTAGCCAGCGTGCCTCGTGGCATCTATTTGGGGACGCTTGGTAAGAAATTAGTAAGAGGAAACTCCTCGTTACCGGAAGGAGAGGAGGGTTTTCCCTTAAAGCAAGAACGCGGAAACGGGAGACACAAGGCTTTGGGGTTTTCCGGTCTTAAGAAACGGAGCTCAAACCTTCATGCCTAGCAATAGAGGCGGTGGGAGCGGCGTGACGTAGTATGTCACGTGAGCCTCGACTATATAACGGAGTGCACAGAGCCAGTGGGTGGGTTCTAGAGACAGTGGGAGAACTTCGTGCAGTTGCACAAAACTTGGCGCCACGACGGTGCTGCGGCGGGCAGGGCCCGCGAGGCAAGTCACGTGTTGACGAGCCCGTGGAGGACTTTGTCCTTGGGAGACTGCGGTCACGTGGGAGCGATGCTGTGTGCGTGCTCCGAGGTGACTGATTGGTGCCACGATTCACGCCGATTCTGAATCGGGTAAAATCGCTCCTGCGATTGAAGCAAACCATCAGTTGGTACGCCAGTACGGACTTTGTGTCCCAGTGTGACATCCGGTCACGGAAGCTTGGCTTCGTGCGCGCTTCAGAAGTTGGAGTGGTGAATGCCACAATCGAAACCGATTATTAATCGGGTTTGGATCGCTCCCGTGATCAGGGAATCGTAGGTCAGTAGGTCTATCAGAGCTAGGATGTAAGAAGGAAATTCATTGTAAGTATTTGTTGTTTTCTTTGTAAATAACTATTTGTTATATGAAAGCTCTGTCTGTGTTCGCTGTATCCATGACGTCACACTAATATTGAGCAAAAAAATTAAAAAATGGCCAAATATATAATTATTTGGCTATTAATATTTGGCATAATAATGATAGTTTGGTTAATTGAGCTATAATGCTTTTTAGTATTTGCATTTGAGTTAGCCAAACTTTTATCACATAATATGAAGTATCAGGTAAGAAACAGAAATACATAATATTTCAAGCTTTTAGCAAATTTCTTGAGATGCACAAAAATAGTTGACTTAACATAGAATATAGAAAAAAATGGTTCACTTAACCATTGTTACGTGATCCAGTACGAGCGTATTTAACAATTCTACTAGTATATTATCAAAAACATTAATTACAAGAAACATTTTATAACAAACTCAAGACATCTTACACCTCAATTTCTTTTCGAGATGAACTGTTAATTCTGATATATGGAGTTTTACATTCTTGTGTGCAAGGTTTCTTACAATTTTGGTAGTTAGACCACAGTAAATTGTCAGCAATTTTAATCTTCATTCACCTAACGAGTAACTTTTCATTTGAAAAAAATTAAAATGTTCATAGCGAACTAAAATTAACAATTTGTGCACCATCATTAACTTTAGACATTCTTTGTCAATATTTCTCTATGGTCACCTGATTCATTTTGAATTTGGCGACGTTCCTCCACGCTTGAACGTGAGACCTGGACGACGTCGTCCTGCACGTCGGCTTTCGGGTTTCCTCTTTCTTCGGATTGATGCATGCAAATTAAAATATCAATACGTCTACTAGCAACAACTATTCAAACAAAATTCTATTAGCAACATTTTCCACCAATTTATAGTTAGTCAGAAATCGTTAATACAATATAATCGGCGAAAAGCGAGACACTACAAATGATCTTAACAGTATTCTTAAATCCAAAGAGTAACTGGATTCTGTAAAACGAATGGCTTCAGATACTAACTTCCTATAAACAATCTCGAAAATTAAAGGCAATAGCGCCGATCAATTGTGGGATTTTGCAACTTGTTGAAAGGTAATTGTGATGAGAGTTGCAAAATGTTATTTTATTAACAATTTCCATTTTTTCATTTTCTAAAGGGTAAAGGGTTCTCTGATGTCACAACCAAAAATTGCGAATTAACAATTCTGCAACAAATAACAATTGCGAAATGTACGCTATTTCTGCCGGAAACTGTCCCAAATATCTCCGGCTCGGAATTGGGTCTAACGTTGAACATTATGTATGATGAGGTTTTTTTAAGTTCTCACTGCCAGAAGAAACCAAGATCATAGGTTTCGCAGACACTGTGATCATCGTCGTCGAAAAAACTGTAGACAATTGTTATGCCATTGCTATTCAATGCATCAATGATGCCCTAGCTATCGCCTGTCAGTCGTTAGCTGGATTCCGCAGAACTGCAACTTGCAGAACAAGACAGAAATGATGCTTGTAACTAACAGAAATAAGAAAGATATCACTCTCACAACCGGCCATCCCAAATTTTCATCACTACCAGCGATAAAATACCTCGACGTCACGTCGACATACGCTCGTCCTTTAGAGACCATTTGGACTGCGCCATCAAAAAAGCAGTGTCGGTGAATGCTGCGTTGACTACGTTAATGTCGAACTCTGGACGGCCCTACAGCGCGATAATCTCTGAATCTACTGAACCCATAATGAAACTTTTGTGCTAGCTTCCTTTAAAAATCTGTATAACTATAGGCTACGACTTACAACCACAAACCTTAATATATTAACAAAATAATTACTTTTCTGGACATTTTTCTCCTTGCTTTACAGTTTCAAGAGTGCATCAATGTCAATAGTTAAGTAGTGCGCCACCAGATGATGTCTGAAATCTACTAAGAATTTCATCAATTTCCAGAATTCTGAAGAAATTCTTTGGGCTTTGAATAAGGCTGTTATGTCCAGTGTGAACTTCGGTGGAAAATTCGAAAGAAAGCCATAACCAAAGTGGTAAAGAATGTCAATTCACACACATTGTCCTTAGTCAGTGTTCTATACAAACAGTGGCAAGAAAACATTGTGAGTTTGAAAGTTTTTAAACATTGAGGTAAGTTGAGAATGCAAAAAGTACAATAATATACAGTAATGCATAATGTTCAATATATAATGTATACATTCCAAACCACCTCTTATTTTCCAGAAATTTGTGAACACGTCAGTTTGAAACCATGTCGAAACGAGTCATAGTTGTCAAAACAGACTACAAATGCTAAGAGACGGGCAGTCTACAAAAATTGTTAATCGGCTTCTCAGAGGCAAGAGCACGTTGCTGAAGAACGCACTTGCTCTATAGAAAATAATTCTGCAAGGATAGAAGCAAATATGAGTAATCCTCCAGGAAGTAGGGCATCTTTTCATTATGCCTCCCAGTTTATTTTCTCAGCTCATATTCAAATTTGTAAAATGGAAAATGTATATTTTAAGTCAACTCTTGATGAACAAACTCAACTTGTTGAACCTTTTTTTTCTTCAATATGTGCAGAATAGTGCAGTGGTACGTAATTAAGCAATGATCCTTTACATGTTAAGGCAAATCTATGCTGTTGTTTGGCATATCAGTTGCTCCCTAAGAATGAATTCATCAATTTTTTCTATACAAAATAGGCAAAAATGAATTTATGTAAAAATATTTGTCATAGCAAATAAAAAATCCTGAGTGTGCTGGGTTCTTCAGATTTCAAGATCCGTAGTATCTGGCACTTCAGATCAAGTAATGAAGCAAAAATTGTTCTGTTAAGTGGTTCAGTACAACTTATTGTGTACACAAAATGTACATGTTTATGAGTCAGTATTGTTTTGTTGCAATGATGAATTGATTAACCTAAACAAATAAAGTTTTATACCACAAGTTACTAGAACAAAATACTTTAAACATATTTCTGTTGTCTTCAAAATAATTAAAAAACTGACAAATTACAATTCATCATATATATTTTCATTTACTTTTATGATTCATTAATTATGTTATGACATGTATATAAATTTCTACGGATTTATCTACTATCATAGCGTACCCGTGCTAGAACTCTCAATGTGGCAATTCATTGAAAATATTGGAAAAACACACAATATTGCATTAAGTGAATATACACGAGTCTATGAATGTTTTATTTTGTAGTTCAGATTTGTTTATTGTTTTATGTTATACAGTTTGGGAACTCCTGTTAAGAAAATATAAACTTTTTTAGTGGGAAAGTGAGTGAGCTTGACCAGACATTTCTAAATAGGGTGCAAGACAAGTCAGGGCTACCTGGCCAGGACAGGGCTGAGCAGGAATACAATGGAAAGGCAGAAGTAGGCCCTGTTGCAGGGCATGAATAAATAGAATTCCTGTTCCTGACTAATAATTTACTACAATAAATCCTTTGGAACCGCAAGGTATTTTAGCGGGCCCATGACAGCAAAGGTATTACGACAAAAGACAGGAAGCAGAACTGCTTGGAACTAGCAGAATGGCAGCAGCAATGGGATGCTTCCTCCAAGAGAAGATAAATCTACTGACCGATTCCTGCAGTCAAATAATGAATCAGTCAAAAGCATGAAAGGTTAAATTATCTTGAGCAGCTTCTAACGGGACTTGGATTTTTCAAAGCCTACCTTCACAGGTTCAAACTGGTTCATTACCCTATGTGCAAACCTGCTGTAGAAGATGCCAAATACGTATTTTTCAATGTCCATGTTTCGCAACCTAACGAGTCACTGATGAGATCATGTCAGATGCCTCCAGAAAATGTAGTTGCATGTATGCCTGTTTCTGAAAGTAATTGCTGGTAAGTGTGTAATTTTGCACAAGTATTACTGGAATTGAAGCACCTAGAGAAAGGAAGGAGGAATATCTCATGACCCCTTACTTATCTACCTTCATATGACTGGGTTACTATTTTACTTTCCACAAGGTAATGCCTATAGGTGGTTTTGCGGTGAGGATGGAGAAGAGAGTTTTGGTATTTGTAAGAACGAACCTCACACATTTGGTAGTACCTACCAGTGGCTACCCAGTCTTTTGAAGATTCCCTCCTAACCTCATAAAAAACACACACAGGGGTGCACACACGTGCATGCACACGCATGCATGCACGTATTGATACAAGAAAGTAATGTATTATTTCTGCAAATAAAAATTGCAATATGTACTAAATATGTTAATTATTATTCACACACACACACACACACATTATATATAAATATATACCAATAAAAATAATTTCCCTAAATAATGGAGATTTTAATATATTTAGTTTCTTTTTTTCCTGGGAGATATGAGGATAGAACAAGTACCATCCCTTTATTACTTATTGTTCAAGATTAAATTTGATTAACATTAAAAACAGGATTGATCCAGATGTTAACAAGATTCCAAATAAATATTAAATAAAATACTCATTGCAAGTCAAACTTATTCATCAGAGATGTGGGTAATTATTGTTACATGTGACTTCCATAGTATAGAAAAAATTAAATACATTGAAGTCCCTTTCAATGAAATCAAAAGAAAACAAAATCTTTGCCTTCAGTTAGATTTAGCGACTTCAGATTTTCTTCGAAACATCCACCAGTCAAGCCCTGAAAATATAATTAGTTTTAGTATTCCAGTGCAATAAATTCAAAATATTTCAAACAGGTTCACCTTTGACATATAACAGAGAAACAATTTCTTATTCAGAAAAAAAGTACAGTAAGACTTTACTTATACCCTTTTCAAATGTGTGAGAATATCACATAACTGAAATTAATTATAATGAGCAAAACAAAAAGTATTTTTACATCGGTGCTTCACTCTTGGATCAATATTAGTTTTGATTTATTTAGTCAAAGAACAGTAAAAACTGTATGTTATGTAAGGGGGAGAAGTGCCATTGTGCATGTTTTTGTCAGGTCCAACATTTTAACTACAAACAGTTGAATGATAAACGAAAGTTTCAAAAGAAGCAAAGTTAGTAACTTTTGAAGATAGACAATTTTGCTCCCAAATTATAGAAAGCGTATTTGCATCAGTAAACAAACTGCCAATTGTATTGCTAAAAATAGTAACCCCACCCATGCTCTACTCCTACCACTACTATAGCTATTCTAACAAATGGTGAAGCTACGTTAATGTCCAGAAGCAAAACAAGGGGCCATCTCAGCATTTGCTCAACGGATTACGGAAACTGGACAAAACCTGATCGAGACAGGAAGCTGAAGTACAGGTCTTTAATCAGTTGTTACTTAGATAACACACCGACCAGGCATAAGCACACTCGGCGAAAAAGCTAGCACTGATATTCGAACTTGATGCAACCAGTCCTTTAGGCCTGTGTCACTTAACGCCGATGATGCCAGCTGCGTCGATGCCCGAGGATACGAGTCGCTTAACGCATATCGTAGAGTAACACTATCGTCTGCGAAAGGGCACGACCGCTAGGCGACGCGCGTAAGCAAGAGCGCTCAATTACCGTTTTGCATATGATACAATTTTAATCTGCGATGCGGGTTACGTGACTCGGGTGGGCAGGCATCGAGGCTGCTGACGTCATCAGCGTTAGGTGACAGGCCAAATTGTCAATAGTTTAAGTCTTTGATTTCCTCGAGTTTCAATATTTCTTTTAAATACGCCGAACGTGCAAAATTGGTGAATATTATGAAACGCCGCAAAGGACACTACCGCCCACGTTTGTTGGTCCTGTAGACCTGTATTTGTCCAAAACGGACAGTTGAAAGGCCCTGTGTAGCAACGAAATTAAAATCTTAATACTGAAATCATCACAAAAATTCCGCGGATTCCTCTACGATAACGTAAATATTCTCACTCGTTTTGGATGCTATATCGTCTTAGAAAGACTTTCTTTATGAACGTATAAACGTGAAAAACGTATAAATGTAAAATGCAGTTTCACTGGAATTATAAAATTTGTATTGCAGTAGTGTTTAAAAAATTAAAATGTATGCAGGTATCTGAATGTAACTTCCAATCAATTGAATAATATTTATTAATATCTTTGTTTCATACCATTTTTACACAAATGACCATTGGACACACTGCTTCTGTGAAGTGAACAATGGGAATTTTACGTTGATATGATATTCCCTTGGTGTATGGAATATAATATTTCCCAATTTTTCGCCTGTCTACATCACAAAACATATGTAATTGACTCTGGTACAGAGGGTCTAATGACCTATATAATTTTCGGCCTAATTTCCCAGCATTCCATATAGTAAACTGCTTCCAACTTCTCAAAACTTGCTCTTGAAGTCTCTTTAAACGAATTCTCCAAATAGTCATTCTGGAAACAACAAAGATGTTGTAACAGAAAATTGATTTGCTTACCTACGTATTTCTCCAATGAAGAACAAAAAAAAAAAAAAATTTACTCATCAACTGAAAATGTAGTGCAATGCATGTGATATCGATAAATAACAAGACATCCGTCAACTCGAAACAATTGCCCTCCAGAATCCAGATGTTTGTAAAAGAAAAGAAGATCTTCTGGAGTGCCTTTTCCATCTTCATCAAAGCCCCCTACTCTGAAATGATTTTCGAAGGAAGTACATAACTAGAGTACTGTAAATTTCCATATCTACAAATGTGTGTTTTGTTAACATTAAACTTGAAAAAAGAAAGAAAGGAAAAGAAGAAGAAGAAAAAAAAAGTCAGTGAAATCTCTCTGAAAGGCCAGCCCTCCCATCGACCAATTTTCTTGGAATGGGCACTGAAACCAATAAATTGTAAGTAAATCATACCCCTGGTAACATATCACCCAACTCTCTTCTTAATCCTTCACCAATCCCTTCATAGCAATTTTCTTAATTGAAGGTCTGTGAGCAATAATATGGTAACCCACAATTTACAAATGAAAATAACAGTTATGAATAGTGAATTACAAATCTCTCGTGCATGGAAAGTTTTCATCCTAGGATATTTTTCTCAAGATTAGCTTAAAACAATGTTTTTAAAAAAAATTAAATTTTAGCTTTGTTTATTATTGATGGAAGCTTTGCTGTTTGTGCACAAGTCTTATGTGCGCTACCATGTTATTGCCCACAACCCTTCAATTCATCCTTCATTTTAATTTCATTCCCTCTAATATGACATTACATATGCATGTGACCTAATGTTCAAATTTTTGTATAAATAGAGCCTTCCCTTCCTTAGTTTTCTAAAAGATCTGTAACTGTACAATATTAAAAATTTGGAAGAAAGGGTTATTGACATGCTCCATAACATCAGTGCTTGAATTGGACCTGGAATCTGAGGCCAGTACTCATCCAAGATCCTCAGCTAGATGTTTCTGTTTAATTGTGTGACAGCAGCTTTTTGGGGTTACTAAGATGTTGTTAGCATTCTCAAATGTCACATCGAGTATACACAAGAAAGAGGAGGCTTAATACTGGTAGACAACTATTGAGAATACTAACACTGAAAATCCTTTACAAGCACCTTAAAGGGTGTTTACATCACAACCAAAAAAAGCAAAATAAAACTTTTTTAAAGTATTTCATTTTTCTTAATTTGTGAGTTTTCGAATTAAAAAAACAACAAAGTCTTTAAATATGTTCATTAGAATAAAATAGGCACTTTCCTAAACATCTGATGTCTAATAATATAATAGAATTTTTAAGTAAAAATAATAAAATAAATTTATAAAAAAAGTCCCCCCTATTATGCCACCACTTTATAACATTATAAAGACCTCTTTTTCATGGAACTAATAGTGATTCATTAATACTTGTATGGAAACATTGGACTGACAGGCACAAAGTGAAATTGGTTTATCCAATAGTAGCAAATACTAGTGGGCGAGACCTTAGACAGCCTTAGTAGCTGACCCCCCTGATCTTCTTCTATCACTCAGCTGACAGATGTAAAAGAGAACATTAAAGAAGCAAAAAAAGTACAAGTGATAAACATTTTTAATATGTATTAATTTTTTGTTAAAAGCAGGTGATGGGAGATGAAATGATAATCACAATTATGCAACCATTTTACTTTTTTGCACATATTATCCTTGAAACTCTGACATCGTCATGGTATTATAGAAAAGATGACAGATGTGAATAAATGCAACTGTGAATGATGGATGGATATGAATGATGTCGCATGTAAACTAGATTTTGACATACAAGGATTTGAGGCGTAACTAGTACTTGAACTTCAGTATATAGAGATAGAAAGCAAGTATTCTGGGTTGTTGAACAAAATCCTCCAAGAGTACGTAATATCATAAAATTAAAATAATCACTCTGTTCAAAGCTGTTGATGTTTGACTACATTCTCAGATAGGAAAAAAGTAACAAAAAATATGAGAATTCAAAGAACTCAATGGATTTTTATAGAGATTCCTGTAAGACATCAACTATAGTGAAACTTCGCTAATCCAGACCCCGCAAATCCAAAATTTTAGATAATCTGAACGGGTGGAGGAAAAATAAATAAAATGCTTATTTGTAGTGTAAAGACAGAATTTTATAATTACTGTAGAGCTGAACAACTAATAATTAAAACACAAGTTGTCAAAATCAAATGGATATTGCATTAGTAACTACAGTGAATATCACTAGTTTATGTAGCAGTAATTTTCACTAAGAGGAATTTGTAAAATTGGTAATCTTCCTTTGCCATAAGGAACTGAATCTGCTTAATTATGCGATTTCTATACCATGTTGCCATTTTCTTACATCGCTCGCTATGTGGCATTGTCTGATAATCCTATAGATATATTTGTATATGGACAACACAGTTTTTCAGATAATCCAAACAGAATTCCCCCCAGTTTGGTTTATCAGGGTTCTACTGAATTTCAATATTCACTGTCTATTATAGCTCTGACACAAAAACACAACGGCTACTAAGAAATACAAAATTAAGTAAATTATTTGATTCAACTATGTATGAAGTTAAGAAAAGCCATGACTTTTATAAAGCGATGAAGTATGAAAGAGGACAACCAAAGGGTCGAGAGGATATAAGCGATGCATCAAAGTAAAGAGTTGCATGTGAGAGTTATGGAAAACAAATTAGTTCAGTAAAATGTTTTGTATATTTCCTTCTAATATTAATATATGACATAATGGTGGGTTTAAAAATAAAGTTATTAAAAATAAAAAGGATATTTATTGAAAGGGTTCAAAAACAGTATGGTAATAAAAGTAGGCACCTATCAAATACTTGCCGACTGCAAAACCATGTGGGCATAATCAAAGTAGGCCCATGTGAAGTATATTTGTTATGCAGCTGATCTTCAGATAAAGAATTTGCCCAATATGTGAAACGAGAAGTAGATCTTCTGTATTCTTTTAATTTACAGCCTATAATCTAAAAGGGAAGAACATGAAGATCAGTTTATTTTTATTTTATCTATCCATCTATCTATATCTATCTATCTATCTATCTATCTATCTACTCTCTCCTCTCTCTCTCTCTCTCTCTCTCTCTCTATATATATTATATATCTATATATATAAATATATTATATATATATATATAAATATAATATATATATATATATATATATATATATATATATATATATATATTATATTATATATTCATAATTAGTAAAATTTATGAATACTCACAGAATTAGATCTATCTTGTGCAGCGCAGATTGCATGATGACTCGTTCAGGTCCATATATCATCCTACAATTATAATGAGCATCATGTCACGTATTGTGTTCAATAATACGTTATGATTGCCAGTCACTCTAGATACTTACCACATCTTGAAAGCACAGGTAACTTCCAGTACTGAACTTCACTGCTTGATTTTTGGCAAAACCTACTATAAAGCAATAATTTACAATGAAGACTACATTTTAAACGATGTATTTAGTGCATACATGCTCACTCACCTCCCCTTGGGGCAACGGCATCGCTTTTATTGACAGTTAACGTTATGTTGTGTTTCTGACATATATCATGCCAGCACAATAGCTTATTTTCTGTATTATCGTCACTGGCATCGTTGAAAACAGACACTTCTAACTTCAAGGGAAACTTTGCAGTCTGTAAGATTATGGAACCAAAACAATCATCTATCCATTCAGCGCCGTTGTATATTGGAATAATAATAGACTAAAAACAGAAACAAAACTGACTCAGACACCTTGTTGAGCCATTCGTACAAGACTTCCCGATACAAGCCAATATTTTCTTACGACATCTGCAATAGTTTTAGGACGCAGATCATCAGCGTGAATTTTAGTTGATGGGATAGAATCTATCCAATCTATAGAATTCATTTTACAAATTAGCTGGAACGTTCAGCCACTAGTTGCAAATGAACCAACGCACGCTACCATCTTCTCGTGACGTCATCACCACAGAGAAAAATCTGAAAGCAATTATAGTAAACAGTCGACAGTTGACGCTATTCTTGGATAATTTTGGTTAGGTTTGTATATTTCAGGATTTAAAATGATAGAATATGTCTCCTCTGTGAATATTGTCTGTCTAATTGTGATTTGATGCATCGAAGGTTGTGTGTTGGGTAGCAAGAATAAGTCTCGTTCGACAACCAGTTTTATACGATGCAATGTCAAAGCAGAACTGCGGACTAGTTTAATACGTAAGTATGCAGCAGAAGCTTTTCTTTCACGTAACAGTGCTGAAATATTATATCCACCATTTATAGTATTCGTTTTTGTAGAGGATGAACCTTTAACGTTTGTTCAAGCGTGTGATAGCATAACCTCTTTAACCTCAAAATGGCTTCTGTTGTTTGCAACAGCATTAGGATATGGATTGAATACGTTTATTGTTTTATGCCATTATCGCCTGATTTATTGAATGGGATTTCTCGCGTAGTGAAGTGAAAAATGCCGTTCAATGTACCTGTTAAACGCGATTATGATAAATGATTGCCTGCAAGTCTCGTAAATCTGATGAAGAAAAAAATTTTCGTTCCCTTGTAAATTGCGAAATAGTGTGTTTTCAGCGTGTCATGAACTTTTTCCTTACCGAATTTAGGGAGATAATTGAAGGTAACTATCCACGTATGTAGTTAGTTCAGACAGTAAATAAAAATTGTTTATTTCTCTGAAAATTTGAGAATTCGAACTATTTTTTATATTTGAGAAATGAGTAATAATATTCACATTTTCACTCAGTTCCCCAAATGAAAAGTGGAGTTTTATAACATATATCCAGTTAGCAGTATTACATTTTTTTTTAAATTTATCCTCTATGGTCTAGGTTTTTTTATTATGCCTGGTAAATGATTAACTACTTTCATTACCTGAAGTTGTTATTAAAAATATTGTTTAACCTGTAAGTGTTTGAAGCATTACCTTTCATTTACATTTTCTGTGCAAGTGAGTAAGTTAATTACTTTTGAAGTGATTGATAATATGGCTTGATATACCAAATGTTTTACAGGTAAAAGAAAGTGACAATGGCTGAGTTGGTTGGCACTGAATGTGTCAGTTCTGCTGTTATTATTAATTCGTGGCAAAGTAATGAAGACCCCAGTGTGTCTCCAGAAGAAGTTATTTGTGGTGTGGCAAATGACTGTATAATATTTCCTGAACCACGCAATGTTACCACTATTGATTCTTCTATTAACTTATCTTCCAATGACACTGTTACTCCAGATACAATTCAAGTGAAATTGGACCCTGGGACCATAGAAGTTGTGCATTATGAGTTCCCTGAACAGGATTTATTTAACATTCAAGTTGCTGAAGAAGAAGTCATATGTGAAACTTGGGATAATGCTGAAGTGGCACATGAAGAAGTGTAAGTTGGAAGGAAGGAAAAAAGAAAAAGGAAAAAAAAAAGAATATATATATATATATATATATATATATATATTATATATATATAAATATATATATATAAAAGACATAGTTGATAAGTAATTTTCTGCAGTGCATAAAATGAATTTCCAGTAGATATTGGAAAAAATTGTTTAATATTGCCATACAGATACTCAATTTCTCATGCTGTGTTTACTTTATAGTGTTCAAATGAATTTATTTCTTTTACTTCAAGTCAAATTAAAAAAAAAATAATGTGGGAATTAATTCATCTTTCTAATTTTTAAGCTAAGAATTATTATTATTATTTCTAGGAATGTTTGTTGGTTTTGGGGCATTCAGTGAGAAAATTTCATAGTTTGCCCACATTTCAGAACTTTATTGTTCCATTATCAGGGCTGTGGGACACATATTTACACTGTTACTTCATCCAAGTGAGATATATTACATAAAAAGTTAAAAACACATACACAATTATAAACTAAGGTATTAAACATAAAACAATAAAGTTAATTATAATTAAAATCCAATATATTAAGGGTATTGTCATAAAAACCCACCACGCTAAGGTTGAATTTTTAAGAGCAAAATACCAATCATCTCACTCATGTCATTGTGGACACTAGCACAAAAACAACTCCATTCTCTGGCTGTGAGTGTCAGTGTTAATTTATTTGATGGGCATGTTGAATACTTATGTCATAAATTATCAGGGCAGGTGACTTTCTGTGGAGTAGTGTAGGAGTAGTAAACATTTTGATAACAATAAGGGCAGATAGATCTTTTTCCTATGTATCTATATTGTATATGTTGTTCTTAATTTTTATTTGCTTTTGATTGTCAGTCAGTTCATGAAATGAAATGGAGCTGAATATTGTTTACTATATTCTAAATTTTGTTATAAATTATGTAGATTTTGTATATTATGTGACATTCTTTTGCAATTCTAAATTTTAAATTGGATGTGTATTGCAGAATATTGGAATGGTACTTTTCATGTATATTTGTATAGAATTTGACTCCTACATGAACAAAATAATTTTTGTTGTCATGTGAAGTAATTTTCTTGCACAAAACACACACACACCCTAGAAAATAAATAATTATAATATCAGTTTAGAGAATTTTTCCATTTTTTATATTAATTTACGTATTGCAGTGTACAGATGGATGGAGAAGAACAAGGAGGATACAATGCTTCAGAAGATCCAGATGATGTTGAGATTCCCCTTCCTCTGGATCAAGATGCTTACACAACAATGCGACCATATCCATGTGACTTTTGTAGTCGTCGTTTCCGAAAGAAGGCTAATTTAATGAATCACATGGTAGCTCATCAGACAGATCGTCCACATGGTTGTAATCTTTGTGGAGCTCGCTATAGAAGAAAATGTGATCTTATAAATCATATGAAAATTCATGCCTACAAGCCAGCACGAGATGTTACAGATGAGGAGGAGGAGGAGGAAGAGCCTGTTGTTAATTCTGTCCCTAATAACACTGGAGCAAGGGGACGTCGCAAGAAGGTTTTTCCACAGAAAAAAAGGAAAACCTTTCCCACTACCAGTACATATCTCAATAAACCTAGTGATTCAGTACCATTTACAAAAGGTGGTAGGAAGAAGAACATTACTAATTTATCAAGAAAGAAACACATTGATAACAGTGTCACACCTTCTGTTAGTACTGCTCATAGTTACATTGAGGAAGATGTGAGATTACTGAAAGAATCAACATCACATTTTCCTGACTCTGAAGATAATTCAGAAGATCAGAAATATGATACTCCAGCTGCCGAGGAAAAGCCACCTCGTTGGCCTGTTGTGGATGAATCTCGTCCATATGTGTGTCAGCATTGTGGTGTTGGATTTGCACGCGAAAAAGCTTTAGGTTCTCACTCTCGAGTGCATGCTGGGGACAGCCCATTTGAGTGCAATACCTGTGGAGAGATGTTCTGGGACATCGGAATCCTTCGTGAACATAAAAAGGCAAAACATGGTAATCGGTTAGAGTACGAAACTTTAGATACAGGGGATGATAGGTTTGGAGATTTTCACTGTGAAACTTGTGGCCTTGCATTTCATCGGCAGGATTTGTTGAAAAGGCATCGTAGGTAAGTACAATGTTTTCATTTTTTAAGTAGTTTATGGTGAGTCCTATGTTGCCATGTTAAATTCTTAAAATTGATGACACATTATCTCAGAAACATTTATCGTTATCATTTGAAATTTTTATTGTATCAATTCTGAAGTTAAGATTTACATTACTAAATATATTTTCTGCATTACATACATTGTTATTGTCAATGGTCTATACGATTGAATTTGTTTCCTTTGTTTACAATCTATTTAAAAACACCTTTTGGTTTTGTCATTTGAGTCAAACTTGTTCACCTTTCTTTCACACACCAGGCTATCCCTCCTCTTAACCCAAGAGAGAGAAAATAACATTTAACTTTAAAAACACAGAACAACACCACGCCTTTCAAATTGCAAAGATAAGATAATGGTTGTTTTGAAAGAAAATTTTAAAATTATTCATTGAGAATAAGACTGAATGTCTTGTTTTTTTTAAAAATTGGTTTGAAGGTCCTTTAAATACGTTGTTTAAGTCCTTGAAAACAGGTCTAAAAATTGTGTGAATTTAATAAAAATTTACTATGTGAATGAATGTCTGCCTAAAAAAGTAAAGGACCTTCAAACCAATTAGAAAAAAGATAAGATAACTGAATATGAAGCTGCAAAAACCACAGCCTTAAGAGACATTAGTTTCAGAACTGTCCGTTTATGTGAAAACATGGAATTTCTGAAATGTCAGCAAGTCTATGCTGATGCACATTCAAAATGCAATTAAATTCAATAAAAAGTATATCAAAATGTTCAGAAAAATGAGATTATTTTAAGATTAAAATTAGTATTTGATATCTTTGACATTTTTCAGGTGGAATGTCAATAGTTTTTATAAGGGTCTTCTTTTTGAATTGTAATATAGTTCACTAAGTGTGTGGTAAAGTAAGCCATTTAAGTTTACAAAATAATGCCATTGTTCTAGAAAAACCTTTCATAGATTTTTATGGTGGGTTATGTCATTAATTTGTATTGTTTCCTTGATATAGTGACAAATATCAGTGGTGCCAATGTGTTAAGTTGTGATGGTTTGAATTCTGTACCATGTCTTTTATTACTATAATTTTAGAGCCCAATGTGCTGCTTTTTGTTTTATTTAATGTTTTTGTGAATTATTTTCTTTAGTCTTTTAATTAAATAACACAAGAACATTAAGAGCTAATAAAGATGTTTTTCTTATCTTTGTATTTCACATAAAAATTTGACCCATTTAAAAAACAATTGCTTTATTGAATTTTACTATTGTTAATCTTCTTTGTGCATGAACTATATAATTGCATAAAGGAAATTTGGTGAAAATCTAAGTACTTAATCAAGCTTAATTGTTTTTGCTTCAATGGTAAATCTTTCTATAATTTAAATATTTTATGTTGTAATTGTAAAATTTTTTAAACCTTATATGAAAGTACAATGAAAATTCTGAAAATCCTAATAACCACGAATAATTTATTCAAAATAAAACCTTGCGTCGGACCCAAAGTTTATAAAGTAAGCTAGATGTATGTGTGCAAGGTTTTAGAAATTAATTATATTTAATTAGAAATTAAACTATTATCTCTAAACTTTCAAAAATATTTCAAAACTTGGTGGTAGCTTGAAATTCTTTTTCTAGCATCACAGTTATAAGATATTAGAATTTTGTTTTGTAATACTTTCTGTTGTAGGCTTCATGTGAAGACCGAGAGTGGGACAGAAGATAATGGAGATTACAGTTGCCAAGTATGTGGTGGCAGTTTCACCACTGAGCCTGATCTCCTTGCTCACATGGAGACACATGCACGTTATCAGCCACATCGCTGCATGTTGTGTGGAGAGTGCTTTCTTGACAGTATGTCAGTGGCTGCTCATGTACGCAAACGCCATGCTAAAAACATACCACCTAATGCCTGCACTTTGTGTGGCAAGACGTGTCGTGATCGCAGATCTTTGCAGAAACATAGTTGGGTGCATTCTGCAGAGCGCTCTTTTCCTTGCCATAAATGTGGGAAAAGATTCCACAGTCGTGCTAGGCTAAAGAGGTACTTACACAATCTTCTAATATGTATTTTTCTGAATTATTGAAAGGGGCTAATACTCAATGTGGGCATATGTGGATGTCTTTAGGCACATGGTATCTCATAGAGATAAGGCTGTAACATGTGAAGAATGTAATGAAGAGTTCCCAGATGGAAGGGCATTAATTAATCATAGACACAGTCATAATAAAGATCAACCTGGTCGCCAGTTTTCATGCCATGAATGTGGCAAAACTTTTGGGTCCAGAAGCAGCCAACAAATTCACGCCCGAATCCATACTGGAGAGCGTCCATATGGCTGTCGCTTTTGCTGGAAGGCTTTTGCTGATGGTGGGACTCTGCGGAAACATGAACGTATTCACACAGGAGAGAAGCCTTATGCCTGTCCTGTTTGTCCAAGAGCTTTCAATCAGAGGGTAAGTGGTACCCTGTATTGCCCACTTTCACTTATCTTCTGTTTGCTAGAAATTGAATAATTTGTCATATTATCTGTTTTTCAATTGGTTTCGGTGAGAACTGGAATACATATTTAAAGAAAACACAATTTTTGTCACACTGTTAATTGTCTTTTATTGCTCACCTTTTTTTAATAAATTTTATTAATAACTATTTTTAAGTTAAAATTAAATAATCTATTTTATTTACATCAATCTACTTTGTACAAATAAGTAACAATTCATATGTTAAATTACAACTAATTTATAATAATCATTATTGAGCAAAAAAATTATAGATGCATATATTTAGAATAAAGATTGTTCGTAAATTACAATACGTCATTGTTCAGCAAAAATTATCAGTGTATATGTCAAAATATTATAGCAAAATATAATAGATCATTAGTAATTAGTAAGGGAATGAAAAAAAATTGAAATTGAATTAATTCAAGATCCACTGATTTTATTTTGGATGTTAATCTGAAACATGAAGATTTTGCGTTGATTTTAAAAATATATTAGAGCCATGGTAGTAATAATTTTTCTATTTACTTGGTCTTTCTCGTAGACTTTAAGAAATGGTGATATTTGTATTTAGTAATGACTTAATGTAGCTTATGTAAGGGATTGATAGTTCAACACAACCCTTAATCATCTAATTTAAGATGTACTATTAATTTGTAATATGTACATCTCGAATTGCCTGAAATGTTATTATTCTTTAGTATGTGCCTCCCCTTTATGCATCAGTGAATTCTTAAGGCATTGATACTAATAATGTATTGTTTCTAATAGGTTGTCCTCCGAGAACATATTCGGTCCCATCATTCAGGACCAGAGGTGAGAGCTGGAGGGGGTTACCCTGCCACTTACTTGTGCAAGGTTTGTTCTTGCACATTCACCACCTCAGAAGATTTGTGTGCTCATCTCATTAAGCACAGTGATGAGAATACAGCTAAGCAACGCACACCTAAAATAGGACCTCGCAAGTACAAACGCAGGCGTAAACTAACGCAACATGAATTGGATTTACTGCTGACAGATCCAGTTGATTCAGGAAACCGAAGTGATGAAGACACTGATGATTTTGATGATGTAAAGCATAAGATATCAAAAAAAAAGTACAAAACTAAAGGTAGGTCTAATACTACTGAAAATTTAGAGTCAGTAGCCAAATCTTTTGATTCTGTTCTTGAAAATTTTAATTCTTTAACTGGCAATTCAAAAACTGATGCTGCTAAAAAAAAACACAAAGTGAAAGGGAGGTATTCTCCAGAAAAAAGAACAGGGAATTCAGCTGTTAATAATTCAATATGTATGGATCAGTCTAAACCTAGTGTTTCAAGATCTTTGTCAGGTGGTTTCCTTAAGAGTACAAGACCGGCAGGGCAAGGGAGGGTCAGACCGAGAACAAAAAATGTGACACTCAGCGCACTTGCTGCATTAAAAGCAGTTAGTAGTAAACCTAATTCAGCCCCTGATCCTTCAAATAATTCTGAACTCAACAGAGCACGACCAAGGACAAAAAACGTAAATTACCATAATGTGAAAATGGCTAAATTGCAGACCGCTCGGTTCCCCAACAGCCCTAAAGCAAGTGGTGGAAAGGCGAAACCAAAGGCTGCACTGAAGCAAAGACAGTCACCCAATATTAAAGGTTCTCCCAAGGCTGCGGAGAATGTTGTGAACGACTCTGTGCCTGAGGCTGCACCCCCCCAACTCTCTGCTGTTTCCTCTGCCACCGAGCAAGCAGGGGGGCATGAAGTGAAGGTGGAATTCACTTGTGAGATGTGCAGTGAGACTTTTACAAAACGCTCGGAACTTCTTGTGCATGTCCCTATCCATATATAGATTTTATTCTTTTCAGATTTGTTACATTTGAACATTTGTATACTTTTATACAGATGGTGTCAGATTTTTTAAATTTTGAAATGGACATAGTGTGTTCCCGGCCATTTACATATATTGAGTTGTGTAAATCAGTAGCAAAGTAATAATTATTCTAATAATAATAATGATAGTTTAAGGAATGTATTACTTGTATAAACAACGTTGAAACAGTTGTTTAAAAGTATTTTTGGAAAATGGTTATTGAAAGAATAGTCTAATTCAAAAAACAAACAGATGTTTAAATGTTTCAAGTATATGTATTTATTAGGATTACGTATTGTAATTTTTACCATATCTGTAAGAAGTTGCATCTAGTTATTTTGTCTCTAGAAAATTGAAGCAATATGTTGTAAGTTTGATGCTTCGCAAATTAGATACTTTAATGAAACACCACTAAGATGTATACCATGAACGTTATAAAGGATTTTGTTTCTTAATTTACCCAAAGAGTGTTTTTGGAAAGTAATGACATTTATTCATGAACACTGTCATATATAAAAGTAACTGTGAAAGTAAATGTATTGTTTAATTCATAAGCAATGTGCCATTGTAATAACGTAATTGCAGTGATGAGAGTGTGTTCAGAGAAGTTTCATTGGGCATGTTGGTCAGTTTTAGAGATGAATGTAGATAACTGAGGATACTTTAAACCTCAGGTAATGGTTACCTGAACACTGAAGCAAAATGAAACTGCTTATATAGAGAAATGTAGGCACAGGAATATTTTTTTGGATTTTGAATTATATTTGTAACAATTAGTTTTCTCACCTGACAGTGGACATGATATGTTTCCAGTTTTCAAGTATTACAATGCAATTGAAATAATTTTATCCCTGTATTGTTGGTAGTGTACGTACATTAATTGTAAAGTCACATACTCCAAGCAATATTTTTGACTGAATACTGATAAATTGTCATTTCTTGGGACAGAAAATATGCAATTTGTAGTTCTCATAGGATTATTTGACCACATCTGCAAGTTTAGAGTGTAATACCTGCTAGCTGTGCTATTGATTTGAGTTTTACAAATTTGATAATAGCTAGCAGGAAGAGAGCATATTAAGGTCAAGGGGGGTTGTTTTGTTTTAATTGTGCTTTTTTTCCATCATATGTATAGAGTCATTCTAAAATGAACCATGGTTTCACAGAAAAAGAGGAATATATTTTATAATTTTAACTTTGTCATGCGTCTTTTGTTTTAGAAAGTGAAATTAATAAAATACCTATGCAGTTAATTTGTTTGTATTGAAATGTAGTTGACAGTACACAGTTCTATATGTAGTCAATGTGATTTTTTCACTAATGTTTTAACAAAAGTTGAAATTACCAAAATGTTTATAATAATTATTTCATATGTAGGTCCTCTAGGCCCCTTGAACTTAAATTTTGTTATCCCTTCATTAATTCATATAATTTCTTCCCCAACTTCTTATAAAGGGAACAGTTAATTTTGAAATACATACTGGTACACCAGTAAGACACTCTAGATATTCTAAGCATTTAATATTGTGACAGTGGAATTTGTTGAAAATGAAGGTGCGACCAAGTTCACTTTAAATTTAAAGTACAGTTAAGTGGTTAACTACAAATGCTTTTGACTATTCTTAGCTGGGACCACTTTGCATTCTGAATTTCACTGGCAGAATCTAAAAATGAAATGTACATTTCCTACATTAAAACAGTGAAGTGTTTTCTTGTGTTCCTAATTCATTAACCATGCCCCCATTGTTTTTTAAAATCCAAGGACATTTCTTGGTAAGTATTCTTATTATACTTTGTGTACCATGATCGATATTCCTTACTAAAATTCAAATTCAATTATGTCCTTACCTGTACCATTCAGGGGATGGATCCGTTCGATAATGAGGGGGATCATGGATTTTTGATATTTGTTATAGTATTGCATATTATTTCTGTTGACCTTATAGGATGCTGTAATTTTTTAAAAAAATGCATAATTTAATTAAATCAATTTTGGGCAAATAAAGGAAGGTAAGCAAAAACTCTAGGAGGGGGCATGGTGGCCACGCACGTACGTTCGTGTGGGTGTGTCGTCTCAGACGATGATGGTTTCCATCACAATATAAGGTCCCTCTGTGCCCCGATGAAATTCAATATTTCAAAACGGCACAACTTACGGTTTCTTTACTCGATGACCAATTCCTTGAGCCAATTTTATTATTCATCAATGGTCGTGATTCTACAACGGGGGCATGGAAGAAGTATAATTACTCATGGAATATTTATGAAGTGAGTTGTTACTTTTACATAACTGCTTTTATTTGTGGTTAATAAAATAATAGAACCATAGTTTACAGTGGATTCTTGAACATACAACACTTTAGGAAGTTACACGAATGATTCTTCACTGAAGCCTGACGTTCGCTCTCACGATTCGTGAGTCACGAAGTTGATTCACTAGCGCTACCAACGAGTTAGAGATCTCTAACTCGTTGAGCGCTACCCATAGAGAGATACAACTCTCCTCTTTGAGATAGATATCTCTACTCTATGGCGCCACCACGGGGCAGGCACTACATGGACGATGGACCGATTCACTTGGCGTAAACTGTGCAACTGTACCAATCATCGATTGGAAACGCGGGAAAATGAAGTGACAATGTGAGCAGAGGCACAACGGAGACCCTTCGGGAACATGACTGTAGTTTCAAACTTTGTCACATCTGCAGCTTGGTAAGAAATAATTTCGAGTGTATCGTTATGACAACACCGACTTATATGTCAGGTTAATTACGATTAAAATAATCCATGTTATTAGGTTTATTGATAATTTAACTTGAATAGCTACCAGTAAATAGTGAAACTAGTGGACTTTTTGTGTATAATTGTTATGTAAATACGTAATTAATATTTAACTAATCGTGTAGGCCTACCTTTAATAATTTAGATACAACTTGAAAATTTCTCTTTACTAAACTCTTGAAAAAACAAGCATTGTCTTCTCAAACCCACCTTTATCTGAAAAATGTATCTTTTTAACAACACATGACCTATAATGTGTCTACCAATGTTGAATATATTTGTCTCAATGACATTCAGTATCATTCATTGCATAAACAATAACGAAAAGTTTCTTCAATATTCAAAGACATTCTTCTTCACCCTCATTAACGAAAAATTCTCAAAATTAACTTACAACAAATTTTTTATAGGATATACTTGTTGTTTATTAAACTTCTAAAAATCGCAGAGCTTTAAGTCATGCCAGATAGATGGGGGAATTCATTATGAAAACAATCTTGCAAATAGTAGTTAGTGTAGAACACTTAGGAACTGACAAAAATACATCGCTGCCATATTAACATACGGGCTCAAAGAGCCAGGGCCTAGTGCCCCCAATGTTCAAGGGCCCGCGATTGTTCTTAACAAAATATTTAATACTAAATTTTTCGAAAAATAAAATTTAAAAAACGGTAGAAAAAGGTGATGTATGATCAAACTATACGCAAAAGAATGGCATAACTGAGTGATGTGTCACGCATCATTATAGAGTGATTCATCATTCTCTCTCTCTCTCTTTCTCTCTCTCTCTCTATTATATATATTATATATATATATATATATATATATTATATTATATATAATATTAATATATATATACTAAAAGGTGCGCCAGAGAAACCTTACTTATTATGCAAAAAATTCCCGCCGGTGAGCTGGCGTTAGAGGGCGAGTGGTGGTATCTGAGAGGGAAGTTCCCAGTTTTTTCTCCTTCAGTCAGTTGCATCTATGCTGTGGACTAGAAAGCAGCGGGCCTTCGCAGTCCGAGAGCTTCTTTTCTTCAACGGTTGCGCCGACTTGTTTCGCTACGCTGTTGCTTCGCCAGCTCGCTTTGAAATTCCTCCTCACAGACTCGTTCCTTGGCCGTATTCGATTCTGTCGTGAGGTTAACTCATTTCGGGAGTTGTGGAAGTGTCACTAAACCCAGAAATGGAACCGTTGGATGGAATCGTTATAAAGAGCAGCCCGTTCGCAATCGTAGAGAGCGAGCAGGTACGTTCAAAAGCCGACCGACGAAAAGGCGACGCTATGCAGCGCAAGAAGTGACGCCTTCGCCGAACACGATCCACGCTTCCGTGAGAAGTTGAAAAAGGCCCGGCTGGCAACACCACGGCCGCCACTCTCATCTATCAACCATCCCAAAGAAGCCTCTTCAGAAGAGCACTCCAGAGAGCAACAGGCGGTTCTTCGCAACGCGCGGCGCTTCGCCGCTGCGCATCAATCACTGAAAGACTACTCTTTGGTGACAATTTCATATCATTTAATAGAGCCACCAGAGGAGCTAGAGAAAATTTGTTATTAAAAGTGCTTCCCCCAAGTAAAACAATATCGACCAAGATTAAATAAAATTTACAACGGCAGAATAATCACTTACTATCACATTACAGAAGATGCAAAGACCCGACAACGACGGGACATTGACCGCCCTCTTCCGGCATCTACACCGTCGGAGACAAATAACGAAAGACATGGACAGACAATCAAAGAAAATTAGTTACCATTACTATTAGATCAGACTCGGAAAATTACAAGACAACGGATAGAATCCCACAGTGTAAGAACTATGTCAAGAGACTGTCCACAACCAAAGCTACTGCCGACGGAACCCGACCTGCGCTCTCTGCGCTTCAAAGCTCATCCTACCGGAACTGTGCCCCTTCACCACACACTACTCTGAGCGCTCCTTTACCCGCAAAATGATAAAACTGTTCCCAATCAACCACCAGCTTACTACCCATCAATGCCCAGCCATCCATCAAAGCAAAAAACCCATTCCGACAACGTTCCCGAAACCCTCACGGAACCAGCTATCCCCCCACAAACTCACTGCAACAAGAATTCGCCCTTCACTACCAGACACTAACTTCCTACGCAAACACCACACCACGCCCACAAACACCGAAACTCACCCCTCCCAATCTCTGCCAAGACCTCAAATACCTTTTCTCCCTCCTCCAAAAACCCCTCCATTCAAAAAGATCTTAGCCAATATTAAACCACTCCTAGCAAATCCTGAAAAGACCGCAGAGGACATCATAACAAAATTAATCGCCGCAGGCTTTAAAATTAGTTGAAATCCTAAATTAATGGCCCCTTCCCCCGAAATCCTACCCTATTCCTCATGAACGCAAGAGGCGGTTTAAATCAAAATTCCCATCACTTAACCAATTCCTTTAAAGACCACTCCGTGAATTCTTTTACTACAAGAGTACATGGCTGATCCCAACTTACATTCAATATTCCCAACTACATAACCCACACGCTCCGACAGAACAACATGCCCTGAGGCGTACGCCATCCTCACCAGACACTTCCATCCGAATTACCCAATATCCCCTCCACCAACAACTGCCCCTCGAATGCACTGCCATTGCAAAGGAACTACCTCCAACTCCCATACTCATCAATAATCCTGCTACAAAAAACCGAAGACCCCCATTCCCCATCTGATTTTGACGCCATCAATAACCTCCCCTATCCGATTCATACTGGCCAGAGATCTCACTCTGCAATATGATCGAACTGGCTGCCGACAATCGGCAATAAAACGGACTTCAAAACTTGACAATTTCTTTCTACTACCAAGAAAAATCATCAACCCAACATCCCATCTCACAAAAAAACCCCTGAAACCAACACACACCCTCAATGAACTTTCCCCATGACATCTTGATATTGTCCTCCATTCTTCCCAAACTCAGATAATATTCCTTACCCCAAAATATGATCTCTACATAATCTTCGGACCACCTCCGATCGTATTTAATTGCTCCAACCCAACAAGCCTCATATTATGCCCTCCCAATCCACCCCCCATCCCTCCACAAAATGGAAAAATTTCAAGAACATCCTCTCCCAATAAAATCCACGTCCTACAGAAACCAAACCAACATAATCCATAGATAAGTCCATCCAACACCTAACCCACCACATCAAAAAAAGCCTACCAAAAATCGACCACCTACACCCCAAACCTCCACCCACCCTCCCAAATGAATACCTTACCAGATTGAACAACACAAACGAGAAATACACGACTGTTTCAACAAACTAGACCGCGACAGGTACAAAAGACAACTGAAAAACTACAAAAGACAAATAGCAAACCGCTATTTACGACACAAGCAAACACACAAATATACGACTTTTAAAAGAACAAACCCCTCCGATATTATTGGAGACCCCAACAAATTACATAAAGTAATAGAGTCTTTAAGTTTTTGTCTTTGTTTTTTAATATTTGATTTCTTGTTTATTTATTTGTTCGCAACCACCCCCACCCCTATAATCCCCACTACTGACAAACGGCACTCAACGCTTATCCCCAAACTCTTACAAATACCCTCGCAAAATCCCTCCGCCGACGCTTCCTCCCTTCCAACCCTCCAATGCCCAGGACAATACTTTTTTAAATTACCTTCCCGCCTACCACAGAAAACAACAAATTGGACGACCAATGACAAAGAATACGACAAATACATAAAGACAAAGACAGCACAAAATCCCCGGACCCGAACGGAGAGTATTCCATCCCAATCAAACCTCACCAAAAATGCATAAGACCTCCTCACTCTTATCCTAAATCCTCCTAAAACTAACCTATTTCCCCACCGCTTGAAAAACCGCCCGCGTAACCATGCTTCCCCAAACCCGGCAAGACCATACGGCTTT